GAACTCTTGAGTTCATATACTTCAAACCGATTCTTATATAAAAGCCACACTTCTAAGCTTACTATTCATTAAGCGGTTATTTCATAAATAACCAACTTGATTAGTATTCTTGATGAAGGACACATGCTATTGTTGAAGGGGGAAACATGGTAAGAAGAAAGAACATTAGTTCATTAATCTTGATTTTTTTTGTTTCTCTTCTATGTTATTTTTCAATCCTCTCTATTATTTTGTTTTATTAATATCTTCAAATACGAGTACTATTTGTTAAGCGTATTGTAATTCTACGAAACTTTAGTGTCATTAGGTTTATGTCCATTAAACGATAAAACCACAAATAACTTCAACACTTAGGATTACTAATTCATAAACTTTAGCGACATTACACTAAACTAACAAATTTGCAAAATTTTCATTTATTTTTCTATTTCCCCTTCATTTGTATGTAGACATATATTTATCTAAATTTTTTTCATTTCTTTTAATAACATATGGCCTATAAAAACCTTTTAGCAATCCTCTTTTTTATTTTTTTATCCTTTGTTATTGCTATCCTTAAATCAGAATCTTTGTTCGTATTTGATGCATATTCCGGCGATGTGAATTCATTTTTGAATTCTTATTTATTGGCATTTTTCTTAGTTTTTCGACTATTCAAGTAAATGTAGACCGATCACGCGTATTCGAGTCAAGTGTATATCGGTAAAACATTTTCAAATCTTTGTTAGTTTTCCGTCTATTCAACTAAAGGTCGGCTGATCACACGTATTTCAATCACATATAGTACTTATTGAAGAACAAGAGAACCACATTAATGATTTTCCAAAATGTGTTTGTTGTTCCGCAATCGGTACCTATTCATTGGGCAACGAGTACATCTTTTATTGTTTGCTTCACCTTATTGCGAAATGTATTTCACCGATTCTTATTTAGCTATTTAGTTTATTCTCTCTTACAATCATATGTAACCTTTCGCATTACTCGCTTTACGTGAAGCGTACCGAACGGGCATATCTAGTATGTCTTAACTTGGGGCCAACGTAATCGGTCTAGTTATTAAAAAAATGTTACGTATGCATCTAAAATTAAAATCGGTTTCACTATGATGCGGTTTAGCATACAACATTTAAACTCCTTCTCAAGATGCATGAGGCGATTTGTGTGATGCTTTAATGTCATGATGGATATAGACATTGATGCGATATTGTGCATGATACTACTGAGTTATTAATGATGTATAAGATCAGTTGTATGGTATTTGGTAGTTACTATAGTGAATGTCAGACATTGAAAGAAATCTTGTTATTGTTGTTTTTACTCAACATCCACAATTAAGTTTGGATATGCCATTTATAGTGAAATAATGGCTCATATTCAAGTACTCTATTCGCATCTCTCATATTTGCTAAATATGTTGTGCTACACACACAAGAACACATAAAGGCCCTTACATTGCATGCATTGCTCGAGTCATTTGAGTGTAGAAGTCTGTCCGCTCTTTGACTATCTATCCATTGAAGTTTCTTTTTTGTTAGTCGTGACATACTCTTACCTTCTAGGAGTTGGCCATACTTTAGCTCATTTTTAAGGGTACCGTAAAAAAAAGCATGTAATATAAGATAAAAAAAAAATATGCACATAGGTTCGCAAAGAAAGAAAGAACCAAATGTTTTGATTGCCTAATGTATAGACAATACAAAGATGACTATCTATCATCATATTAATATGTAAAAGATTTTAGCTATTAAATAAAGCAGTGGGGTGTTGCGAGAATCGAACTCACGACCTCTCGCACCCGAAGCGAGAATCATACCACTAGACCAAACACCCTTGTATGTTGTTGACAAAAATGAAACTTAACTGCAAACTTAATATGCTCACTAAATCAAGGCATGAGGTGGGGGACATGGTTATCCGGATTTACTATGATACCATATTGCACACAATATTTGAGCTTCTAATGTTGTGTGAAGCAAATTTTGTGACACTTCAATGTTTGGATCTAGACATTCGTGGAATATTGCATGCAATGCTTGAGTTGCTAATGACGCGTGAGACAAATTGTGTAGTGCTTGAACGGTGTTATGGTGGATGTCATTGTAAGCATTGAAAGTAATCTTCTTATTGTTGTTTTAACTCAACATCCACGTTTAACTTTGGATGCACTATATGTAGTGAAATTGTAACTCATATTCAAGTCATGTCAATTATTCGCATATCTCATATTTGCTAAAATCAGTAGTGCCACACACTCATTTGATTGTTGGATTCCCCCCTTCAGCCATCTATTTGTTAGAGTGTGATATAAGATCCAGCATAACCTTCTCCCAACAACTCGAGTTATTGGGATCAACTGGTTCATGACATGGTATCAGAGCTGGTTTGACCAAGTGGTCGTGTGTTCGAATCTCCACGACCCCCAATATTAATAGTTGATTAAAGCACAAGGTATGGTGGGCTCTGCAAACTTCAAGCCCGTGAGTTGGCTTTCGTTTGAGGGGGCGTGTTAGAGTGTGATATAGATCCAGCATAACCTTCTTCCAACAACTCCAAGTCCTATCTAGGAATAAATGCTCTCTTACTCAAAGACTATGGAAACCAAGAAAAATATAAAATCAAGTCATAAAAGTGATTGACAACTCGAAAAAGCACTCAGATTAGTACATAACAAGGGTTCCCTCTTAGGTGTGCTTGATAGAATGATTTGGATTTAGTATTTGTGATTTGGATTTCTAAATGTCAAATCATGCGTTTGGATATTAATTACATTTGGTATTCGGATTTGTGCCAAATTCATGGAGTGATTCCAAATACATGTCTAGTGTATTGTCAACTTCAAATACATTTCAACAACTAGTGATTTGAAATACCCCATAACAAAAAATTGGACCTATTTGTAAAATATAAAAAGTGTAGGTACTATAGTGTAAGGCAAAACATATAAAGGTACCAAAACATAATTTTACCATCAAAATTTCTTGACCTTTTTATAAAATTTTAAAAGTTTAAATACTATATTGCAAGGAAATTTTTTGTGGGTACCAAACTGTACTTTACCAAAATTTGTAGCAAATGATCAATAAGTTCAAAATTAAAATTTAAAATCATGAAATTTAAAATACAAACGAGTATCCAAACAACGGATTTGAATTACATGTATTCAAATGCTAGTATTTCAAACGCATGTATTTTAAAAACATGTATTTCAAATAAATTACATTGAAATACACCTATCCAACCGCACCCTTAGAGAAAAGAGACCTAGAATCACGAAATCATCAATTAAGCGAATTGGATAAAAGGAAAAGTGTTAAGAATCAAGAACATAAAATATAAGACCATCTCCATCTCTAGCAATTTCTAAACGTGGTCCCTACAGTCACTTTATCAAATTTAGCAATTTCTCTTAAAGGAATTGCAAACCACCAACATGCTACATCCCTAAATTTTGTTTGCAATTGCTATTGTGGGCCCAACTACTATTTTAAATCTACCAAAATATTTTTTTCATTGAAAAGTTACTACTAAAAAAAGAAAAAAAGCATATACACATGTGGCATTGCTAAAAGACTTGTTAATTTAGCAATCTTTCTAAATAAGCAATTGCCTCTCCATCCCTTGCAATTGCAAATTGAATTGCCACCTAGACTCTAACAATTGCTAAAGGTTGGTTTAACAATAGGAGATGCTCTAAGATAGGAAAATTTGCACATAGCTAGGTTCCCTAAGAGACAATGAACCAAATGTTTTAATTGCCAAATGTATAGACATTGCCAAAATGAGTATCTATAAAAATCTGTAAAAGATTTTAATAGTGAAATGGGGCTATTACTGACCAATGAGTAACCAAATCTCAATTATCAAATTGTTCTAAAAAAAATCTCAATTATCAAATTTAAGTGGGCCCAGAAAATCCAGATATAATGATGGAGAATTAAAGGCATTTTTATTTTTTTCTTAATCGGCTCATATTGTATTTGTTTTAACTCGGATTTCAAATTTTTTTTTTTTGCATAGATGGAACAAGTTCGTTGTGTTCTATAAATTGAGATCCATTTTCAATATTTTTTGAGGAAATTTTTTTCCTTGCCTCTCGTTACCAACTGCATCCCATATGGATATCTTCTTCGTTTTTAAGTCATTTTTGAAAATTTTGGCACAGAAGGAATTAGTTCATCATGATCTATTGGATCTACAAATTTCTGGGTGAACAAAATACAGGACCAAAAAATACCACCTGGTATGTGGTGGTATCTTGTGGTACACAATATAGAAAATCATAAATGACAGTTAGTATACTCCTACTATCATGTATTCAATCATACTACAGTCTTGATATGTTCATACCACCATCATAAGCTTTTTCATACCATATGATATGCTCTTATTTAATACCAGTCAATACTGTACATGGGCGTTGGACCGTGCTTGGGTCGGCACGGCACGAGCACGTTTCAGGCCCATTTATTTCGTGTCGTGCTTGACACGACTCGTTAGTTTTCGTGCCGTGCCATGCAAGCCCATTTGTTACTTTTGCTAGGCCCGGCCCAGACCCGAGCACGACTTTTTCCAGGAAAGAGAATGAGTGCTGATGTAGCATATGATGATTGAGTTATGCATAGTGACTCACAACAAGGTTATAGACAAGAACTACTCCCGTGAAATGGGTTCTTAGTTCTTACTGCTTACTTCACAGGAACCCACCATACTTTAACTCCTTAGCCCACTCACAATGTTGGAGGGAAATCATGGTGGAAAATAGGGAAAAGAGGGGGAGGGAAGGGTTTGGTCATAATGTGGGGTGGAAAAGAGGATAATTGGTTGAATTTTTTTTGGTAAATCAATCTAAAGTTGATTTCGTCATTTTATTTTGATATAATGATAATTTTTTGACATAGGTAGTGATAATTAATTAATACGTATATTTCGTTTTTTTTTAATTTGAACATAATTTTTTCCATAACTAATTGAATATGATGTCATAAACACACTGTACATTTAATGCCAATACCTAAACCATTTATACTTGAATCCAACAAATAAGATCAATATTTAACTTCTAAATTCATAAAATAAATTATAAATTAACTTTTATTAATTAAATCACCGAAACAACACTATGCTGCTAAGATGTCGTAACCGATCGTGCCGGTCATACTAGTGGTGTTCACGGCGCCTTGTCATGCCGGCTGAACCAGGCTCAACCGATCGGCGCGCCACCAGCTTGACCACCCTGTCGATTCATGTGGTCGAGCAGGACGACGAGAGCCACCACGAACGCCATATCCACGTTGGGATTGACCGTCACCGCGAAATGGTCCTTTCCCAGCAACACGCTCTTGGCCGTGTGTTTCTTGTGCATCCGAGCAACGACGGAGCCAGCCTTCTCCTCTTTTCCGGCATAGACAACACACGACCCCCCGGAAAAGCTCCCTTTCACCTTGAAGTCGCACGCCTTCTCCGCCGTCGCGCTGGCGGCGAGGAACACGTCGATCTCGGCCTTAAAAGCCAAGAGAGAGTGGCTCTTGGTGGAGAAGATGAGGTCCTTGGGGTCCGTGCTGTCTCCCCTGAACGCGTGCCACCTGTGTAACAGGAAGTGGAAGTGGTTAAGTACGTACTATACAAATACAATGATCTCTTTCAACAACTCGAATTATTATTGAGAACAGTTGATTTAGGACAAACCTCTCGTGCACGGTCATGGCCTTTCGCCGCAGCGTGACGAGGACGTTTCCGGCCGGGTCCTGTACGGTCTTGTGGTCGCGGAGATGGACGGGCTTGACGAGGAACTTTGATCTAGGAGAAGTCGATGTGGAGAAATGAAGATGCCTTTTATCTTGTCAGCTTTCGATAGATGTCGAGCTCTTGATTGCTTGTTGGTTTTGTGAGGAAGACGTGGAAAATATCCTCATTGCATGATACAACAATTAAGGACATAAAGAGTTGCTAAAATATCGGTTAACTTTATGAGAATATATATCCATTCTAAATTAATTGATTTCATTCGAATTAATACACTGAATTGAGAATTCAAACAGTAAAGGAAACAACATGCATCTATCTATATTGTGTTTCGTCAATACCCGATTGCTAGCTTGATGATTCGAATCCGAATAACATCTTCTCTGCTTCAAACTTTCTTTCGTGAAATTGTGTATTAGTCATGGATAATTTTCCAAAATAATTTTTATTTATTTATCACCAATATGGTGGTTTTAAATTTATTGATACAAATATTGTGTTTTTGGGGTAATAATGCGGGTTCGCGTGAGACTTAAAATTAACCGTTAATGAACGCGGACCCGCGCCAGACTAATGCGGGTGCGCATGAATCGAGTAACCAGCGTGAGTCTTGTGCGGAACGCTAAAAGTGGTTTCTGATCTCTTTATCTTCTTCCCACAGCCTCCCGCAGCGACGCAAACACCTCCCCAGCCTCCCGCAGCGACGCAAACCAGCCCAGCCTCCGCCACCACGCCGACCACCAACACGCGCGACACTCTCAAACGGGTCTTCCCTTCTCTCCCGCGGAATTGCGCTCTCAGACGCGGAAGCCCTTCAGTCCCACGCGGAAGAGCCAACAGATCTGGTGGTTTTTTATGGATGAGGCCGTGGAAGAGGCTGGCAGGCACGAGGGCGGTACTGCGGTGAGGGTGACTGTCTGATCTCGCCGACGTCGGCCGGAATCTCGCCGCCGTCGGTTGCTTTCTGTTTTTTTTTTTTTTGCAGTTCCTAGGCTTCTGGACACTTATTCCACGAGGCGACCACCTACGACGATTGATACAGTTCCGGTCGATTCAGTACTTCTTTGGGCACATGGTCAACATCGTGCCGACTCAGCTTGGCAAACGAGGTAAGTATTTCATTAAAGTTCTTTAGCTAGTTAGATTAGATTTTTACTAGGTGAACTGAAATATTAGAATTGCATGTGAATTTTTTGAAATTAGTATTAGTTTTGATTAGATATATTTTACTAGATTAGATAGATTTTACTAGAGGAACTGAAAATAGAATTACGCATGAAATTAAATAAATATAAGTTTTGTGCATTATAGGCTGGTGATCGCGTTTACCAGATTCGAGGTACCACCAATTTGGTCACGTACCATCCACGTTATAAGCCGTATCTCCAGGAGGCCGGTTTTTTTAGCGTTCAGCACTAAGCAGGGTCCCTATGACTGTTGCTATTGATGCAACTTTGATCACTACTCTCGTAGAGCATTGGCGACATCGACCTTCCACATGCCGCTTCGTGAGGTTACGATCACTCTGGAGGACGGTGCCACACTGAGCGGTCTACCGATCGACGGCGAGACTGTCATAGTAGACGTACCAGATTAGGAGTGGTCGGAGACGTGTATGAGACTGTTAGGACATGCTCCTACAGATCTTTCCGGCGGTGTCGTTAGGATTAGTTGGCTCAGGGAGCAATTCAATCATCTGCCGCCAAATGCATCATCAGAGATTACAGGGCAGTTTGCGCGAGCTTATGCCCTATCTCTGATGGGGGGTATACTGTTCCCCGACCAGACTGGATCTACAGTTCATCTACAGTATCTACTCCTGTTGGAGAATTGGCGGAGAGCTGGAGGCTACGCTTGGGGAGCAGCTGTTTTAGCCTACCTGTACCGTGAGATGGGTAGGTTGGTTATGCAGATGACACAAGCCTCTTCCACAGGAGGTGATCTTGGTGGATGGGTCGCCTTACTGCAGCTCTGGGCGTGGAAGCAATTTTCATTGATAGCACCACGAGATACAGTGAAGGATGAGCCTATTACAAAGGACGCATACCCATGCAGTGCTCGATGGCTTCTGGCCATGTCCAGTCAGCATGGTGACCAGTTCTTCAGTTATAAGTTGTTTTTCGACGAGCTGTCGACAATCGTGGTTAGTATATAACATTTCATACAAGAATAGTTCTCATTGGTTTGTTTTGGATTAATGAGTAATAATGTGACCACTTGTTGTGTGTAGTGGCTGCCTTACTGGGAGAGAGGCGATCAGTTCAGGGGTTCTGTGATCCAGTCAGATACCTTTCGAGTAGTAGTTCCACTGATCTGCTTTTCAGTAGTGATGTGGCACCATCCAGATCGCGTACTTTGATAGTTTGGCATGATGCAGAATGAGCCTCATCATCCAGATCCTGAAGCTGAGATTAGGTATTTCCTTTGCCAGACAGTTCGTGGGCCATCGCGAGGGCATCGGTTGATACATGCCTAAAGAAAATCGATTGATTTGAGGAGTCATCGACATCAGTATATAGCGACTATGCCATATAGTCAGGATACTCTAGCCTACCACTCGGAGCATCTGGAGTGGTATCGAGATGTTACTAGACATGCAGTCACACAGAGAGTAGCAGGAGTTAACGCAGCGGTTAGTTATTTATTGTTTCAAAATAAAATTTTAGTTGTTTGAAATTCATAGTTGTGTGGAATATTTGATGTATTAAATTAAATTTTGATTACGACACCATGGAGTACGCTGAGCTGAGGTTACGAAATGGAGAGTTGTTGACTCGCTAAAACACAACACCTAACAATGGCCAAGTGTAACCAATGAAAGGGACTGCAGTATAGTGGCACAAGTAATAAATATCGAATCCACGGGTCTCTAGAGTTACTATTACACAGCTTCAGTTCATTATCTAGCAAACTAGATTAAGGATTGATTGATAAACTACTCTACTGACTACTCTACTAATTACAAGTTGGGAACTCACTTAGGTATGATTCCCCCTAGCTCCTCAATTAGGTCCAAGTTGCAATTACCTTTGGTTGATCTACTGTTGATTAAACTGCAGAAGACGTACCTCACCCAGTGCGGATTTCAGATCGTCAGCGAGCACAACCTGCCCGACCTACTACAGCCTTCAACGTCATGCCGCAGTTTCAGTCGTCCTCTTCTGCGGGCTTTCAGCCTTCTCAGACCTAGTTTCAGGAAAGACATCCTTCAGCATTTCATCAGCCCTCTCACACGCAGTTTCATGGGGAGTCTTCTTCGGGATTTCAGCCACCAGCCGATAGCTTTCATACACCGCCGCAACATGTTATGATGGGTGGCGGATACACATCCTCAGGTAGTGATACTAGAGCAGCCTCACCCTATAGATGGAGAGACACCCTAGAGGGAGACGATACTTTTATGGAGGCGATGTGGCACCATGAGAAGCATCTTCGGGGGCAAGGGTTTACCACAGGTGCACAAGACGAGCATCTCCAGTCTTAGGTAGATGATTTGTTCGGTACACAGGATCAAGATGACATAGTGGACGGAGACTCAACACGATGATGGGAGGCCTGTACGGGACAGGCATACACCGTTGTGTGGCACTGACGGTCATCTAGTGGATCCTCGTGGTGGTGGTGGTCGTTAGTGCTACTATTATGTATGACTATGTATTATTGTGGACTATTTATCATGTCATGATGTTTTATTATGTATTATTGTGGACTATTATCATGTCATGATGTATTATGATGTATTATTTTGGACTTTTTATCTTACTATTATTGTCATGTATGATGCCAATGTCTAGAACGAAAACTTGAACTATAGAAGTAACAACAACGCGGGGCATGCCTTCGAAAGTTCCAAAACCCAATTGGCACAATCGATCGTTCGGACCATAATAACATTAAACAATAACAACTACGTCGAAAAAAATAACAAACATCAAACAATAACACACTCGATCGTTCAAACCATAACAACATCAACCAATAACAACTACGTCGAAAAAAATAACAAACATCAAACAATAACACACTCGATCGTTCAAACCATAATAACATCAACCAAACTACATACCACGTCTATTATCACTACTTCCTCTTCTACCACCTCTCGCACGTCTACCACTTCCTCTTCGCAGGCTCCCACTGCCACTTGCTCCTCCACCAGAAGTTGATGCATCATGTCCAGCTACTTCCTCTCTTGGCCAATCCATCTCGTTGTGAATTCTTGTTGTTCGTGGCCTCCCCAGCTTCCTAATCATGTGCACATCAGGATGGAGAGTAGAGCCATTGTGCTTCTTCCATCCCTTAGGTTCACCAAAAGGTGTGAAACTTGTCCCATAACAAGCCAATACTGTTTCCAGCTTATAGATGTCGTTTACAAACCTATACGGCTTAGCCCCCATTCGATTGCAAGCTGCAATGGCATGAGAGCAAGAAATTTTATTTCCTTGGAATTTCCCACAAGTTCAAAATCCAGCTCGATTGTGTCATCGAAATGAACTGTGAGTGTGTTCGAACCCGTCATGTTGAAATTGTTGGGAGGAGTCTGAACTACATAGATGCCTTGATGTCGATCAACCCCTGTCACGGAATGTCCAATTGCCTTTTGTGCCCACGGCTTCATAAGATCTTTCACATGGTTTCGTGTACTGTGAGTTCCCACTTCTGATTTGTGCTTCTGTCTCCAACCTCATCTTATCGAATTTCTCCAATATTCACCAATAAGTATGTTGCACAAGAGAAGTTATAGGAAGTGAATGAATACCTTTGAAAATACCATTGATGCTCTCCGCCATGTTGGTCGTCATCATAGACCATCGACGCCCACCATTATAGTTATCATGTGCTAAGCTCCAACGAAGTTGATTTTGATCCACCCAGTTACCACAAGAAATACTTCTTTCGGCGGCCATCTTCTTAAATTGTTCAACTTAACGATCGAACTTCTCCAAGCGTTTTTTCTCGGACTAACAAAATAAATAACCACACGAGTTAGATAAATTCATGATAATATTAAATGAAAATAAATAATACGTCAAAAATCTATAACAATAACGATGAAGAGACTTACCGACTTGAAACAGTTGGTTATACATAATTTTGCTTTTTGCCTTCTTTTGCAAGTTGCTTGCATAGTGTCGCACCATCTCCACTCCCAACCTCTTCCGATGTTACTCATGGCTTCATAGAGTCCAGCATGTCTATCTGAGATGATGCATACATTGTTTCGATCGGTCAAATCTTGAACGTGTCTTATGAACCATGACCAACTATCAGTATTCTCGCTCTCCTCTATGGCAAATGCAATTGGAAAAATCTTCTTCCGACCATCAAATGAGCTTGCAATGAGTAGCACTCCTTTATACTTTCCAGTAAGAAATATTCTATCAACAACCATGACTCCTGGATATTCTTGAATCCATCTATACAAGGTCCATAAGCCCAGAATACTCGTTGGAAGATCAAATGACCTGGTTGCGATGAAGGAACTTTTACACAAACAATCACTGATGTTGGCATTTTCTCTTGACCACCCCCAAGAATGTTTGCAAATAATCGTAAGATTCTTCCCAATTTCCATGCAACTTCTCCAATGCTCTTTGTTTCCCATACCAAGCCTTCTTATAAGTAACTTGCATATTAAATTTATCTTTCAACTCGGCTTGCACAGTTAGAACACTCAGATTTGGTTGGTCATGTACCAACTGTTTCATGGACTCAGATATAACGTCGACATCTAGATGACGATGATCTGTCGGTTGAGTCGTACTGCTACAAGAATGCACCAACTCGGCCTTTCTCACAGTCCATTCGCTTCCAACGTCTTGACATCCAAACCGCACCATCCAAGGAAAATTGTCATCCTTATGCTTCAAGCATCTAACCTTCCATATTGAAGGTGACGACTCCACCATGCCATACTGAAAGTTGCGTTGTAGTGTGTGGTGTTTAATCGCCACCTGTGCAGCTTGTTTCGAGTGAAATATCTGGCCCTTGTAGAATTCTCCTTCCAAAACCAGTGACAATAGGCATTGGAATAACGCCATATGAATCAACATATGATAATTCATCGTCCTCTTCATTAGCATGCAAGTAAAAATATGGAGGATAATTAGGTTGCTCTTCTTCCTTCTCCTCCTCCTCCTCCTCCTCCTCTTCGTCATCATAATCATGATAAGATGGCACACTCCATGTCTCATCTTCACCCTGATCAGCCTGTCTAATCTCAGCATGTATCTCAGCACCCAAACACTAAGGATTTTTTGCCATAAAATCGAAAAGCACATTCAAGACATCATCATCCACAATAGGCATCACATAATGAAATAGAACACCATTCTGCCATTCTGGAAGACGGTAAAAGAAACCTGTGATCATATGACTATCTTGTACGGCTTCGTCTCTACACCGTATTCTCGGGATTAGATTCTAAAAAAATTGATGATATGTCACCCGACATGGAACTGTCAATTGTAACTTTCTACCACCAACAAAATGGACGCCCAAATTGTCCTCTAATTTCTTCGATTTCCACCAAACAATTAGTTCAAATATCCTAAAATCACTACATAACAAACAAATTCACTAATTACTAACTAAAGAAAATTATAATAGCATTTTAATAATATAATTACAAAAATAAATGTGTCTCTTACCTAACCATCTTTGCAGCAACCAGTGGAGCTCCTCCCTCTCGTTTAGTTTCGTATTAGTTTTTGGTGTGGTGAGTATATTGGAATGAAGCGAATGGAGGATGATATATATGTTGGAGTGGGGTAGGAAAGGTTGCGAATCCTCATGAGACTAATGCGGGTCTGCTGGTCAAAGTTAAGGGAATCTGTCAGCGCACTTTAAAAGAGAGACAGCGGCACCACGCCAGTCCTACGCGGGCCCTTTGTTTTTACGTCAAAATACATATATGGCGGGCCTGCATCAGTCTGATGCGAATTCACTCTCCTTCCCCCACATAAACACAATATTTGTGTCAATAAATTTAAAACCACCATATTGGTGGTAAATAAAAAATAACAATATTTTGGGAATTTACCCATTAGTCATCTACAAAATATATAATAGAGATTCATGAGTTGGATTTTCAACATTTTGAATTTGCTGGTCTGGGAGGCTTTTACGGAAGGACAAGAAATACAATTTACCTGG